ACACATGCACTAAGGGTTGCCATCGTAACACCTTTTTAAAATCATATTGCCAAATTAAAGTCAGCTTGCAAAGAATCCCGGGCAAGCGTAATGCAAGCCCAGTATCTCAGTCATTGACCAATCCCCGGCGCTGCGTTCTGATGGAGGAGCTGTGCTGACAGCTCCACCATCAGAAAAGGACAATCACCGAGTCTCGTGGTCAGCAAGGACACAGGCTGCTGTCCCAAGGTCATCTTAGGGCCAAACTGCAAGTCCCGTAAAACCATTGTATGCATAAAACGTACAGTTGTACACCAATGATACATCCACACAATGGCAGTTTGTGCAAAGACCTATGCTAAAAAGGATAAAGAACATTTTAAAAGTTCTGAATGTTAACGAGTCAAAAATCAAAGGCAAGAATGCAAACTCCCCACAATGCATTGGCCTCCACAATGAAGTGTGCAGGGTGAGGAACCTACCCCCAGCACAAAGGACTTCACTGGTCATAAGAGATTCCAATTATAGCAAAAATTCTGGCCAACAAAATTCACCCCCTATACATACACATATTCTATTTTCATTTACATATACATATTTCATTTTCATTTCAAGCCAATGAAAAAACACCTACTGATTTCAGCAGAGGCTGAATAAGGCACCAAAATTGGATGCCACTTTTAAACACAGAGTCTCTTCTTTGACATTAAATTGGTCTGGACCATTACATATTACTACTGAAAGCATTAAGGACACTTTGCCATTATGGTTTACATATCTCAAGGAAAATCTAACACACTTGCAGGCTAAACGCATCACAAGTTTTCAGCAAAAGCCCACACCCCTGAACCATTGTAGGTTCATTCAGAAACCTAGCTTGCTTAGTTATTCACCTTAGCTCCCAATCCCCTGCAGAAAATCAGAGAAAATACAGCCACTCCATTTATCAGTTAATTAACAGCCACAGCCAACATTACTCCTAAGCGGTACACCGCACAGTAATAATTCCTTTTCAATTAAAGAAAATATTTCTTCAGTATTTTTCAAGGAGATTTTGCCTTCAAGAACAGCAAACATTTAAAAACAAGTTGCATGGAAGCAATAAATGTATTTTGGGTCAGATAAGTGCTCCAGGTCCATATGCCATTCTTTTCCCAAAGACAGATCTACTGATGTAGATAACCATCAGTAAAATATTAATAATCTCTACTATTTCCTAAAGTATCTTGAGATTACAAGGGAGCCATCTTGGTAGCTTCTTTTAAGGATCTATCCAGCTTTCAGCACTCTTTCTGTGAAAATTAAAGTATTACCAGACAGTGTATAGACAAAGAGAAAACTTTGACCTTGTCAAGTCATGCTTTCAAGCCAGCACTGTAACCCCTACACATCCCAGATACTGTTTTTCTGAGTTACCCATTCTTTTCTGATACATAACCCCTAGTAGTTTACCCCTTAAGTGTAGATTCTGTATGTTCTATTCTCATAAAATCACCATACTCATTCACCTTGAACAATAACATCCCAAATCTCAGTATCAGATTACAACATAACATAAGCCAGACGTCATTTTTTCGGTTTCTTTAGAAAAAGACTTGTTAAAACAGGTGACTCTCTCCTCAGTAATGTCTCCTCTGCTGCCAGACACCATCTTCGCAGGAGAAATACCACTCAACTCCCATTCACACAAAGGGGCAAAGTTACTCTTCAGACACACTTTCCCAGAGGGACACAGAAATATACTTCCACCAAGGTAAACCTGATGCTGTTACATTGAAGCAATTGGATCTACTCCAATTTAAAATGTCTTGGATCTGATCTATGATGTTCATATAATGTCTATATCTGATCGACAGTTTTAAAAATCTTTTAAAAATCTATAGTAACTAAGTCAAGAATTTGCTAGCTATATAATTTGTAAAGATATTTGAGCGTTTCAGTTGATTTTTCCTGTAAGTGTAAGTCAATAACAATATGCTAAGCAGTTTTGAGCATCTATCACCACAGACTAATAGATAATGCTCAAAATAAATCTGTTTTACTTTTATTCTCCCTCCTTACAGCTATGATACTGGCACCCAGTTCTGTCCTAATCAATCAAACTTCATAGGATTAGGCTATAACTAGAAAAAATACTGCATTTTTCTGATGAAATCAGCCAAGGTGTTCTCATGGGAGACACCCTCCACATGAGATGTACTTTTTGGAACATTCTCCTTCCTAGGGCCTACGCTTCACACCATCCAAGTGCTCTTGAAAAGCTCATCCTTCTGCAGCTGATAATTTAAGGTACCACAGTAGGCTGTGCTTTTCCATTATTTTGTGGGTTTTTATATATGAGCCTTGGGTGGGCACATGCTGCACTGTACATATCTGAAAAAATATGTATCGTAAATACAAATCCACTTGAAAAGAGAAATGCAAATGTAAGGATGCAAACAGCCACCATCACTTACGTCACTTATTATTTCGCTGCATTTTCGTGCCAGTTCCATATTTCTGTCCTCAATAACAGGCTTGAGGAAGACCTGCAAGAGAAAGGTAATCATTCCACGTTTATCGTCCTAAAAGGGTAACAACAAAAGGAAATAAGTACTTTTCAAAGCTATTGGGGTTTAACTCACCTTTTCTTCTTCTTCCCCATCCTCATTTTCATCTTCCCTCAGATCCTGAATGACAGATACTCGCATTTTAATACTTTGCAGAAAACAACAATGAAAACTCTAAAAAGGTTCAGCACTGCAGGAAACAGCTCAGACCCTACAGCAAGCCTGGAATCAATGCTTCATTTGTGTCCTCCACTGCACTTAACTCTACCAAGGCTCCTTCCTTATTTAGGCAGCACTTGACAGTCTTTATCTGAACAATTCAGTGTGAGTGAAATGAAAGGCATTGCAGATGGCCTTGCTAGCTATCAGTTGCAGCAGAGCTAATGCTTTCTTACAGATAAAATATAATTAAATGACCTATCCCAGTCAACTATTTTTAAAATGACTATGAACACACTTAATTAAAAAAATTGATGCAGTTAATTCATAACATAGGTAATTTAGTAAAATTAACAGGTTTAAAAGGGGAACATTGACTCTAGGGTTATGGGAAAACTGCCCAGTTCTAAGATTCAAGGCATCTTGAGCAATAGAGCTTTTGAATTTAAAAATTCTCATTTTCCAGCAGATGTAACTGGTAGTATATTTTTCAGGAAACATTCCTTTTCCACAAAGTATATACAACTCCTTAAATGTTTTGCCTATTATATCAGCTGAAGGTTAAACCTGTACATACATAGATACAAATACATCTGTATACTTATAAGTATACATGGCTATGTATTTACACAAACATGAATGTTCCTTCACTGTTAAAAACTGTCATGGTCTGGAATCTCAAAACCAACCTTTTTCAGTATGAAGTCATTGACTCCAGCTGCAGTGAATCTGAAAGATATCCTTATGCAGGTGGATATAGTGTCACAGTGTTTGCTTCTGTAAAACAAGCAAGGAGGTATTACAGGACCAGCTGGAGTAACCAGCATTTTAACATTATTTTTCTTTCCAAACTGTAGCTTGTATACTTTGCATTTTATAAAAGTCATGATTTCGAACTTCATCTAGCAAAGCAATTCACCACTACACAGCTTTGCAATCAGGCAAAGATAAAAGGAATGTGCGTTCTTGAAAAAGCTCTTCAAAGAATTTTAAGTACTTGTGCCTACACACAATGTCCTCAGAGCTTATTTAAAAACACATATTTACTTGGAAAAAGAAACATTTCAAAGAGGAAAAATAAAGCATTTGACTTAGTTAAGGTCTGAAAATTTGAAAAATATATTAAGAGCAAAGGCACAAACTGCTTTCAGTCTGTGACAATCAAGAGAGAGAATTCTTTGTATGTTAATAATATAGAAGCCTTCAAGATTTTCCATTCTGCCGTTTCAAATATAAGCTCCTAAAATTCAGATTTGGATTGGCATTGCTCAAGTTCAGGTTGAAACTCAGAAGTCTGCTTTGTATAGGTGAGAATTACTTTAGTTTATGCTGACTACTTTTGGAGCTCAGGTTGTTTCATCCTTGTGGATGGCTTAGTCTCATAAAATGGTTATTCATAGTAACAGGTCATTTTTGAAGATTATGGCCGCAGCAAATATATTCCTAAACAACAGACTCATGCATGATTTCAAGGACTACATGTTAAGGAGAGAGAGTACCTACAAAAGTGTCAGACAGCAATGCAGCACCAAGGCTTCATTTGGGGATTTTTGTGATAATATTGCAAATACTATATTATTCCAGCACAGTTAATTTCCCTTTCCTTCCTACATTTAATAAATTTTTCAAGTGGAAACATTGAAAAATGTTTAAGAGAGTAGAGAAGAGCTATTAGTAGCTGCAAAGTTTGCTGAATATGGGGAAATCTTTTGCTATTTTTTGCACCGGAAAGCAAATATGGTCAAAATGACAAAGTCAAAACTGTTTGGGTTTGGGGGGAAAAGGAGGCTGTTGAGCTTTTTAACATGCTTACATTGTATCTGGTGGTTTTTCAGCAGCTGGACATACCAAAATTTATATATTAATTGTGGTTTTCCTGTAATGGTTTCTGCATAATAAAAATCTGCCTTCTCCTTAGCATGATCTTCAACTGATTTGATAACATTCATTTCTTCCCATTTTTACATCATCTGGGTCAGGCATAACTGAGCGTCCAAATATGCTCTGGCTCATGTAACTTCCATAATACAGAGATTGCAAGACAGCTGCTATAACTCATCACATTAAAGAAAAATACTATACTATGCACAAAGGGAGCAAGGGGGGAAAAAAATCACAGTATCAACTAACCGTACACAAGTTATTCAAAATGGCACTCTTCACACAACGGATGCAGTAAGGGACTATACGACACAGAAACCTGCCTCCCTTTTGCTCATCCTCCTCAAAACACTGAATACTGTCAGATATTCACTGTGCAATAAAGCAAGCCTGAACATTAAATATATCCAGACATAATTCAGAGAAGAATTTGTTACAGCCATTTAAGAGTTGCACGGTTTAGAAGTGCATTATGATTCTGTTAGCAGCCTGCAGGTCAAGAACAAGCTTAGGTTACTTCCATAAGAGGCAATAAATAAACTAGGATCAGCAGGCATGTTTGGCACAGCAATTCTTTGCTTATGTTTACAGATATTTTAAAAACCACTCTAAAAACACTAAATCTAATCTGAATAAAGACCTAGTTAAAACGCTGAGCTTTACATCATTATGAAGATTATGAAGAATGTTGTATTAAAGACAACTTTTCACCTGCAAAACCTGCATTTTTACCAAAACCTCCAAACGGACACTTCTGAACCGTTTTCCACTGTACATAATGGAATAATTTGTAGTAATTTCTTCTGGCATGAAACAGCACACATTAAACAAAATCCAATTGCACAGAATTTTAAGAAAACATTGCAACAGACTCCTAAGTTATGTATACACGATAATATTTGTATGCATACAGGGCAAAAAGTGGATTTTACTATTGTGTTATCGATATTTTCAAAAGCACATGGAGAGAAAAATGGATTCTTCATGGAAGTGCCCAATATGAACTCATTTAAATTTTGTAAGGCAATTCTGCATAGTGCCACTTCCAACCACCCTGCATGGATGTTCCACATCTCAGTTCAAACTTAGCCTTAAGAACAAGGCTACTTTGTCAAAGAAGCTGCAATAAAATCAAAATAACTGTACTTTGTCTAGATTGTTCACAGAAAGACAGTATTTTCAGCACACAATCTTTGCTGTGTAAGAACTTTTGACAGAGAAGACAAGCAAACTATACGGTTATCCTATGAAAGGAGACAGCTGAATCTCCCAACACTTAACAGTCATCATTCGATTGTTGCAATGTACTATTTTTTGACACAGAACCATTACTCAAGTACCTGGTCTAAATGCGTATCGGTTGAGGAGGCAGAAGGGGAAGAAACAGGGGGTATAAAGGAGGCCAAGCCCCCCTGAGTACAAGTCGGCCCCGCATGCGAATGGTTCAGACACACAGTTGTGCAGCTTTCCTGCTTTGATCACACACAGCTGCGTCCACATCTGGCCAAAGCCCTGCCATCTCCTTGTCCCTTTATCAACCTTTTAAGAAATACATTTGGGAGATGTTAGCCCAGAAAGTTAAAAGGCTTCATCTCCTTTTGGCCCTGATACACATAACAATTTAGCAGTTGCGCTCAGTTCTGTCACTGAACAAACAATACTGCTGAACTTTTTTGGCATAACCCCAAAAGCCTTCTGAGATCTGCAGTATCTACACGTACTGTTGAGCTGAAAGGACTTTTTACCACTTCATGGAACAGCAGAAACTCTGCTTGTCGTAGAAATGGTACCAGAAAGGTCACAATCTCAAACCTATGTAGCAGAGTTCCTCACAGGGTGCTTGAACATAGGTTGCAAGTTAAGGACCAAGGTATTTCAGCTGGAAAATCTGCACAGCGTTATAGTGAGAGGTATATACACATTATGAATACAGTCCTTTCAATTCTGGACTGAAAACCTAGTAAGAACAGAGATAGAATTTTAATGCTTTAACTATCCTGCTTCCAATGAGTTAATAATCAACCTGAAATAAAAATTATTTTCTGTTCTCACTGGACAGACATACACATCACTGAAATAAGTACAATTAATTCAACACAACGCAGCTGGTGGTCTCTTTTCAAAAACCATGCAAGGCATTTGTAAGCGCTGAGATTCAATTACTTCTCATTTCTAGAAATACTCATCTATCAGACTGGAAGTTACTAGCAGCCCTGCCCAAGGAAGTTCATAGTTAGGCTATCAGCACCACAATCACAAACAGAAACAAAGCGAGGGATCCCAGCCTGCCAATTTTAACCTCCCCTGAACGTGAAATACCAATTAACATTAACAAAAGAAATTCAAGAGACGGTTCTATTTAGGAAAAAATCTTACCCATAAGCTTCTATCTGCCAGATCATTAAGACTGCATTTATCAACAACACTTCAAAACCTGCAAATATCTCATGGTTCTAAGCTAAGACTTTAATTCAATGAAAGTTATTTTATTTAGGGTTTCGGTAAAGCAGAGAATGGCAATGCTATTTTTAAAGACGAATACAAACAAGATGTTAGAATACCGATTTGTAAATCCCAGAAAACCTAACGAATTTTCAATGCCTAATAAAATCACAAATAACAGACATTTTTTCCAAACACTACTCACAGAGACCGTTGTCTAGCCCAACTGGATCTTGATGACAGAGCACTTAAGACGTTTGTATGGTACAACTAGTTTCACATAGTAATACCCAAGGTAATGTAGTTACCAGAAGCAGTGTAGCTTTGCTAGCATGACACTGCCTGAGTTCATAAACTCTTT